AACTGTATATGTTTAAAATCCAGATCTGTACAGGGCTGGTGGGAGGGAAAAGGGAGCTGCTATCCAGTAACAACCACAGCCTATGGGCTGCAATAGCCCTGCTTCATGGGACCAATCAACAGCACTCTGGCTCCTCCCCAAGCCTAATAGCATCCCACCGACAAAGACGCTCTGCAGGTCTAGTCCTGTATTGCCTTTTATGTGGATTCTTCATGAGGAGGAGAGGAGGGACAGTCAGCATTTATCCTCTAGTGTCAAGAGCACCAAATGGCAGTTGCTCAGGATGGAATCCTGTCCCCATTAAAGTCAATGGCAAAACTTCCAGTGACTGAAGTCAGGCTTTTACCCCCAGAGTACACCAATGGGAATGGAGAATTTAACCCCATTATTTTCATGCCACAAAATTCAACATATATCTCAGAGTAAATTTCCATAGGAAATAACCCTGTCAGTCCATTTTGAAAGCTGGTGTTGACAAGGGGAAGTTTCAATCCAAAAGTCATTTCTGATGTTCATTTCTTGACACCCCCTAGAATTGCACCTTCTTTTGCCAGTGGTGCTGAACATTGCACAGTGTTTATTTCAGTGAAAGAATGTGATCCCTTTCTGCAGTATATTCCCTGACTCTTGCATTTGGGAGCCAATCAGGATCAACAACTAATGATTTCAATAGTTGTTAATTAATGGGAAAGGGGTATATTTTTCTGGATGTAACTTATTATGGGCAGGTCTATACTTAAAACGCTGCAGTGGTGCAACAGCACATCTTTTATTTGTTAACAATAGTCCATCAAAAATCCTATTTGGGAAAAAAATAACAAGACATAGATTTGTAATAAATATTATTCAGTGGAACAAGAGCCAGGTGAGGTACCATCTTGGGGCTTTAATATATCGCTGGTCATTCAGCAAGGTGTTTTTTTACTGTTGTTTTTGATTGGTTTATGCAGGAACTCAGTGGTATTCAATGGAATTTTAAGGCTGCAGTACTGTATATTCACAGTACCCTGTGTTAATTACCACATGGAAACATATCTACGTCTTTTACTAGGGGTCTTGCTAATAATGGCATATGGCCAATGGCAATTTTTGTGTGTACTAAGCAGAGAATGGTGCCAGAATGTTTTTTTTAAAAAGTCTTCAACCATTGGCAAATTCCCCTTCTTTCTTGACTCGGTAGGTATAGAAGCAGAATGCAGACAAGTAAATTCCAGGCTGACGTATCTGAATATCAATGGCTGTGAGGCTGAAGATGGAGTGTCTATTTTCCAGTGTGAGGTAAAAAAAAAATCTGTTTTCATTTTGTCAGTACAGAACTGTGGCAAAACACGACACACTTTCAAAAGGAGTGGTTTGCTCCATTTTTGCATAGTAGGAAATCGCAGTGCTATTTCCCTCCTCTTGCTAGGTAAAGGTATGACTCTTCCATGTATTCACCCCTCGCTGCTCAAAGCCAAGGTAAATGGCCTTTGCGCAGGGATCTCAACAAGGTTTGTTGAAGAGAATTAATTTGCTTCCCTATTCCACCCAAGGGCAAGTCAGTGGCTTCTCACTTGCTTCCATTCCACTCAACAGAATGGAACATTGACTTCTGTCTCTGCAGGAGTTTCAGCTGTGTACATTTGATTCCATTTAGTCTAACCTGATTTTTCCCCCCTCTTCGGGGCTGATAAGAAAACCCACTTTACAATACACAGAAGCTCCATTCATGTTGCTTCTAGTTCCTGGAGAGACATGTGGATATTAAGTTGCCTTGCTGGGATCTTCTGCACTTGAATGAATTTCACCCTTAATTTTATGGGGCCCAATTTTCAAATCTGTGACTCTAAGGTTAGGTACATAAATCCCCTTCTAGACTCCTAAGTCAACACATCAATGCCTAAATAATAAATGCCTAAATTTAGGTGCCTAACATGTAAGCACCCAGGTTTAAAAACAGCTCTGTAGGATTTGACATGACTTCAGTATTTGAGCCCACACACTGTGCTCTTATGTTCCACATATCCCATCAATTTCCATAATTTGAACAAAAGTGTAATGCCACGGGATTCTCCTCCCCATCACTCTGCTCATGTAATACAGCAGATACAATCTGAAACAGGAGCAGAACATTCCTTCCAGATGTCCCCTTCTATCTTTGATAGATGGCACTGGGAAACAAATGAGAAGCTTGGTTCCCAGGCTGGCTGCAACAGAATAACTTCCCATTCTGTTTTTATTATGCCTGAATTTTTACTTTAAACCCCACTGGGATTAGGGATGGTAATTTCTTTTAGCACCCTCTCATAGGGATAATTTCTTTGACTGCTGTAGTTGCCAAATGGAGCATCTTTCTCCTTTCGGTGACTAGCTGGAAAGGGGTGGAGTTGGGTGCAGTGACTTGGGACCATGTGCCCCATGGGCTTCAAGACCTCCAGCCACTGTTCTCAAACCATAAAACTCTTAAGTGAAGAGGACATTTCAACAGTTCAGAAATGCTGTCCAATACTTGCTTAACTCCAAAATAAGAAAACTGCTGCCTTATCATCTTTATCCACTAAGTCAGTGGCTATTTGGGTCGTGTGGCTATGAAAGATCCAGGGCAGATTTCCTAGTGTGCAGATTGTAATTCAGAAATCTAGCCCATATTTCATTTTGGATAAACACGTGGGCCCAGAAAAAGGGACTTAAGCATTGTGATGCTCAGTGTCACAAAACCTAACTTTTGGGTGCCTAGAAAAATCACAGGAACAACACTGATCCACAAAGCCTGAGTTAGGTGTCTCGGCTCCTATACAATACATGGGGAGAGATAGGCACCTCAGACTGTGATCCACAAAGCCTGTAAACTAGGTGGGGAGCTGCCTAAGCTAGCCCATGGGAGACACCGATGACAAGGGTGTATGCTAAGCTCCACCCCTCTCTTGGAGTTGAATGCCTAAGTCTGAGCTGCAGGGAGGAACCTGTTTCTGTTTACAATTCACAAACCAGGGAAGATAGGCATTCTGCCAACTAAGTCATGTGCAGGTGTGCTCAGAGGCTGCCCACCATCAATTTTAATTGGGTAACGCATTTATGAGCTCCACTCCTAAAACCTCTTGTGATTGGTAGAGCAGAATCACTGTTGCATTTCATCTCAGAAATGCTAGCAAGTGATACTTACACACCTTTACATTACAACCTATACAATGGTTTAGAATAGTACAAGCTACAATGTAAATTATGTGCAATCAAATCAATGGTAGGTTTCCCTCAGGAAGTGCTACAGGCACAATAAGGATTGAGTAAAACTAAAGTGAAGATTACAGAGTTTGGCCTGTTTCATGGATTATTATTGTTTGTTTTTACACATTGTAAATAATAGAGAAACAGAACATGGATAGCTAATAATGTAAAAAAATATTGGCATGATACAACTTGATCTGTATAAATTAGGGAAAATAAAATGTAACAAGGATAAGCACAAATGGATGGACAAGTTCTTGTTAGAAATCAAAGAGGAATATTCAGTTTGTGGGTTTTTTCATTATGTTTGGCATAAATGCAATTAAGTTGTGTAAAAACAGTATTGTACAGATGGAATCAAAGAAGTAATTTTTTCCTCTTTATACAGCACTGGTAAAACTGAATACTGTGTAGAGGTGGTTGGAGAATTTTTTTCCCCAGAAAATTGTGATGAAAATGGAAAATAAAATTTTTATAAAAATTGTCATTGGATAATTTTGACTTTGTCAAAAAACTCAGAAACATTTTCATTTTGGGGCAAAAAGTCAAAATTCAGCAGCAGAAAACCAAAATTGTTTGGCCAAAAATTGCTGAAAACCAATCCTTGATTTTTCCACCCAGAAACCAAGAGCTTTTGTGGAAAAATCAGACACTTTCCTTAAAAAAATTCATTTAGTCAAACAAATTTAAAACAGCTGCAATGCTGTGTACAGTTTGAGTTGCTGGAATATAAAATAGAGAGAAACTAGAAAAATGTGGAAAAGGAACTAACGCGTTTGGAGAGAATGGTGTGGGGGAAGCAATGGAGGTGATCAGTGTGCAGGGCAACAGGAGTTATGGATGACCTAGAAATAAATGAAACAGAAGTTAAGATGCCTTTGGCCTGTCTTGTACTTTGAAGTCCACAATCCCCTACTAGATCAGGCGGAATACAATTCTTTTCAAGCTTTTTTTAAATACAAACTTTAAAGATTGTTGTAATAACGGTGCCCAAAGCCCCACTACTATTGTTTCCTATTAGCCTATCAAACTTACCACAATATTGTAAACATTCTAGGATATCTTAGTGTACGAGCTTGTTTGTGTGACATCAGCTGTTGCGCAGGATTACCTTACGTGTGTAAACATGTCAAGGGAGATGGGAAATAATATTTTGGCATTTGCTGAAAACATGAAGCATGAGACCAACAACCAATGAAGACCAATCAAATGAATCCATTCCAAAGTCCTGGCCAAAACTTCCATTAGCTGTCTTGAGGCTGCTTGGATAAAACTGAGGGCAGAATTTGGACCTTTATCAGAAATCTGTGGAGTAAACTATTATTTGGCAAGATTCAAACTTTGTATCTGTTTCACTTTTAGGGCAAATGCAGAAGCAAAACCAAGTACTCTATTGAAAGGAATAGACTTGAAGATGAGTGCACCTGTTGTTCAGCTACTCAGACAGTTCCGGTGAACGTCTCTCTGCTCTGTGCCAATGGCACAGTGGTGCAGCATGAAGTACCATCTGCAGTGCAGTGCGACTGTTTCTCTCGTAAATGTACATAGGAAACCTTTCCAGAAGCTGCTTCATTTAACCTTTATTTTTAATGGCTAAGGAATTTACCATTCAGATCTCACTTTCTTTCTTTAGACTGCTTTCTTCCAAATGATTCTGACCATTGCACTCATTGTATCAACATACCAAACAATAAATGCAAAGCTTATTTAACAGCATTTTTTGACTGTTTTACTTGGGCTGCTAGTGTGACCCATACCGTGTCCCTCGTTTCAAGGGATGTCACTCATTTAATATCAAAGTTACCTCTGTTCTACATACATTTGGTTTCCCCTCACTTTTATCATCACTGAATATTATTTACCTCCAAAGAAAGAAAACGAAATGAAAATATGAACCAGAGGTTACAGAAGGAGTTATTTACACTGAAGAAATGAATCCCATGGTATTTCAAGTTTCCTGACCAAATAATTTATTTGTTTCCCTCATATTGGGTCTTTGCCACACATTGTGTCCCACTTTTAGGCCTCAGCAGCTTGAGAGGTATGATGGGATACCTCAGAGAGAAAGATGATAATGTTCTCAGCAAACTGAAACATAGCTGACTATGACTCAGTCAGCCAAGTATCACTTTGCAACGTTTCTACAAATGAATGCTAAAGCGACTCCTTAGTGCTGGTGGAAGGTGCTGATTGACATCCTTGAAGTTCTTTATTCATTCATAGGCAGTGCAAGCATCCATTACTCCAGAGATGGTCTGATTCTAGTGATGGGATCTTCTGCTCCAATTCCAAATCAATTCACATTGATCCTCTAGATCTGTCTTTGCCCCCCCTCCGCCTCCCCAATCCATCACTGGTGTCTCCTATCCACAAGATAACCACAAAGCATTACCCCATAGTAGTCCTTGTTTCCCTAATCAAAAAAGCCCCCCCAACTTCTGTGTGAGCCAACCATCATATACATTTTTTATCAAGTCTGCTTGGCTCAAGATCTATTCCCTGAATGGCAAAGCTCTCCTTGTCCTGTCCTCTGTTCACGAATATAGATGCTAGAAGCATATAAATATATATCATGCTAATAATATGCATTATCCACATCACTTCTATCTATTATATATTAGATAGATATGGTGTAGGCCAATTATGGTGTAGTTAATGCATGCCTATATAAATTGTGATACAACATGGCCAGGGAGCAGTGGGAAAGTGGTCTTACTGGGTGCTGGGAAGTGGGTGGGCATAAAGCCTAGGCTAATTAAGGCGTGGTTCCCTGTAGACTAGGGAAGGTTACTACAGGTTAATTGGAGCACCTGTAGCCAATTAAGACCCTGTAAGGAACCGAATTAAAAAAAAAACTGTTTCAGGCAGACAGGGTGGAGCAAGAACTGGAGTTTGGAGGTGTGTTGCTGAGAATTGGAAGACCAGAGAATGAGAGACCCTACCCCAGCAGAGCAGGGAGACTCCCTCCCCCAGTGTCAAGGACAGAGGGTAACCCTACGCAAGGGGGAAAGAGGGGCTGGGGCTCAGAGCAAGGAGCAAACCCAGACTCCTGCCCTGCTTCCCTTTACCACCTTCCCAGGCCACTAGCAGGGCCCCAAGAACAGAGGCAAGGGGGTGGCATCCTAGCCCCCCGCCAAGAAAAGCACAGGACCCACCATACCAACATTTTGTCAGTGTGTGAGTGTAAACCAGCCTACACCACAATCCTGTTCCCTTATGCTAAGTATCCCATAATTCCTCACATTTGCAGAAGTAAGCATTTGGCATAAGTGAATAGAAAAGTTGTCAAAAATCAAGATACATCCATTCAAGATCTTAAATAGCAAAGTCCCTTGCTGGATCAGTACCTGGAATGTTATTATCCAGAACAAAGATAAGGAAGGAACAACAAAACAAGTTAGGGTTGAAGAGGGGTAACTTGTAAAATCATATAAATAATACCAGCTGAAATGTGTAAATGGGGGAGTACACCTTCTGCGTCAGGTGAATATAACATCGCTGCCTAGGGCTGCTCTTAGGAGACTGGTAACATATAGAACCTTTTGCCTGTACCATATTAATAAACCTGACTGAAATTGGTTATTTGGTCTCTTGAGTGTATTTCATAATGAAATAAAGTGTGATTAAGCATTATACGACATATCAGCACTTCTTTGTAAACAATGCCACTGGCTTTTTCTGCCATCTCTGACACTTGCCCTTGGACCTCTTTCATCTTGCAGAAGTTACCTCCCCAGGATGTCTCCCTGCTTAAACAGTCACATCTCTGAGAAGTAGGAAGTGATGCTGCAATCAGAGCCAGGGCTGAAGTGATGTTTTCCCCACTTCTTTGAACATCTCACCCTCTGCTTCCCCATTCCCTTCCCCATTCCCTGCCATCTCACACTGCAGCCTATCACCACATACTCCTTACATTTTACTGTCCCAGTTTTCTGACTTCCTCTCCTGGACGCTGCTCTCTCTACCTCTTGATTCATCCTCGCTGGGGATTTCAATGGGTGTGCTGATGTTTCCCATGAAATGATAGGCAATACACTAGCCTAAACTCTAGGGCACATGGTCAGAATGGTGTGCAGCCACAGGGTCCTGCTAGACTCATGGTTGCTCTTGGATACCCAAATAGCAAGTCATCAAAATCACCTTCTTTCATCTTTGGCTAGCAACAAGACATTGTCCTTTCCTCTCAGAAGAAGACTAGGCCCCAGTGATCCATGCATTCAGCACCTCCAAGTTGGTTTTACTGCAAAGCACTATCTGGGGCTGAAGGTAAAGGTCTGTGGAGAAGTTATAACTTGTCCAACACATGGCAGCATATCTCCTAAGATCACATGTAATACCAGTGCTTTGCAGTCTGCACTGGCTTCCCGTTCATTAATCGATCCATTTCAAGGTACCAGTATGGCCCTTTTAGGTTCTTAATGGACCTAGCTTCCACCATATCATAGCACAGGAGCCATGACTGAACAACGCATGACTGATTACAGAGCCCAGGGCCTAACTGACTGGCCTGTTCAGCTGAGAGTCACAAACTCTGGAACACCAGACTGCCAGGAACTGGGATTAGTCCAAATCTTCTCACGTTCAGAGTGAAATCCATGACTCCTGATTTCCCAGATAGTGGAATGGACGAAGGAGCGTGGAACGTTAGGAGGCCAAGAATCTGCCTGACTGAGAATTTACAGCTGTGTCAGCATCTGTACAGGTGCCATGCAGCTCCAATTGACAGAGGCCACCCATTTCAGTACAATACAAAGTACTCATTTTATAGCAAATCTTTTTCAGCCAAGCTCCCTCAGCCCATCTCTCTAGTTTTGTTGTTCAATTGTGGTGGTATAGCCATCAGCCCACTGCCTGCAACAAACAATTACATTTTAAAAGGTCATGAGAAAATACTACGCTGCCATTAAACTGGGAGGATAATGCATCAGAACACTCACCTTGAAATAAACCCCCATGGTCCTATCTAATAAATAGCTCTCAGGGCCCAAACGTCTCACCTGTAAAAAAACAAAACAGTCAAGTCAAAAAAATGGACATTTCAGGTGTGAAGAGAAGTGGGTCCAAATGCAAGCTGGATGTCAGTCACCATGTTCTCTACATAGGTTGCATTTGGACTGTGGGATCTAGCAAAGTATCCATGTTAGAAATGGGCTAGCCGTGTGGTTGTGCCACACAAGATGCGATTAAGATTAATTTTGAACAGTCGGGGAGAGTGTCTTAGTGGCTTCTTCTCCCCAACCTCTGAAAATCAGTGTCCTGGTGGTCCTTTTCTCACTTCTCCCTTCCATGTAGTTGGACAACTTTCCCCATGACTATAAGGTGATAGAACCTGCTGCTAGGAAATGTCCCAGCAGCTCCATGTCTTTCCTGCCCTACGTGGTCAAGTGGGGAGTGTCCCAGAGGTACCTCTTCCCTATTCTACATTTTAGAGCACAGAGAATGTCTACACTGCAATCAAAGACCCTGCAGCCTGGCTCAGCTGATTCTGGCTCTCAGGGCTTGAGACTGTGGGGCTATAAAATTGCAATGTAGATGTTTGGGCTCGGGCTGGAACTCAGGCTATGAAACCCTAAGAGGTGGGTAGAGCTCACAGTTCAGGCTCCAGCCCAAACCTGAATGTCTACACTGCACTGTTCAGCCCTGCAAGCCTAAATCAGCTGATCTGGGCTCTGAGTCTCAGTGTTGTATGTTTTCTGTTGCAGTGTAGACATACCCATAGTGTCCCAGCAACTCATTGCCACCCTCAAAGTAGGGTGACCAGATGTCCCAATTTTATAGGGACAGTTCCAATATATATATATATTTTTTAATATGGGCTCCTATTACCCCCCCCCCCGTCCTGATTTTTCACATTTGCTATCTGGTCACCCTACCTCAAAGAGAGATAAAACGTGTCACAGGTAGAAGGCCTGGGTTGGCCTTTGTCCTGTGCATTAATGTGTCTAGGGTTGCCAGGTGTCCGGTTTTCCAGCAGAGCGCCCGGTGAAAAGGGACCCTGGCGGCTCCAGTCAGCACTACTGACCCGGCCGTTAAAAGTCCAGTTGGTGGTGCTGCGGGTCTAAGGCAGACTAGTCTCTACCTGTCTTGGCACCGTGCTGCACCCCAGAAGCAGCCAGCAGGTCCGGCTCCTAGGTGGGGGAGCCATGGGGTTCTGCACACTGCCCCTGCCCCGAGCACCGGGTCCACAGTCCCATTGGCCTGTGTGGTGCCAGGACAGGCAGGGAGCTTCCTTAGCCCCACTGTGCCACTGACTGGGAGCTGCCTGAGGTAAGCCTGTGCCCCAACCCCCTGCCCCAGCCCGGAACCCCTCCAAACCCCTCATCCCCAGCCCCACCCCAGAGCTCATGCCCAGAGCCCTCACCGCTCCTGCACCCCGAGCCCAAAGCCCCCTCCCACACCGTGAACTCCTCATCCCTGGCCCCAGCCCAGAGCCCGCACCCCCCAGCCCAGAGTCCATACCCCCTCCTGCACTCCAACCTCTTGCCTCAGCCTGCAGCCCCTTCCCACACACAGCTTCTTCCTGGCTTTACTGAGCACATGATAGTAGCCTGATAGCCTAAAAGCTGTTTGCTGTGAAGGCACTTGAGTTGAGTCGCCAAGAAATTGTCTCCCTGTTGCATTAGCCACTGAAGCTGATTATATAAATGCTTTCAACTCTCATGTGGAGTGGTTATTAGAGGTTTTATTTGGTTGTTGTTTGGGATGGGATTTATACACAAAGTGCTTTAGCTAGGCAGCTGCCTAGGGCAGCAGGTTTCTGGGCAGCTGCCCCTCTGTCATGCTGGAGGAGTGGCCAGGCCAAATTTGAGTAGTGTTGTGACCCCAGCACTCCAGGTCGCAATACTACTGACTCAAATTTGGCCCAGCTGCCCCTCTGTTGTGAATTCAGGTAGTGTTTGGGATTCAGGAGGCGTTGGTGGAAGTGGTGATGTCATCTGGCTCCCTCTCTCCAGTGCAGACTGGTCAGGACATCTGTCAGGCTTGGGGTGAAGAAGGTCGTGGGTCCCAGGAGACAGTGCGGGCCTCAGCCATGATAGTGATGCTCATTCCAACAGCCAATTTTTCTCCCCAAATCTCTTTCTTTAAGGAGCCCAAAAGGCAGTGATGGGCAGAATAGATCATCCCCTCATTTTGTCCACTGGCTGGGCTCAATATCCAACATACCAATTTTGGTTCATTGATTTTCAGTCTCTCACCGTTCTCATGTATCAGGAATGATTTTAACAGTGCTTGAGCTATAGCAATAGGCTCATTGTTTGGACTAATTCAGTCTGTGTGTCTCCCTTAAGAATTGCAAATCTTGATTAGATTGTAACTGTAATTTTTGTACACTTTTTAGATGTTAAAGCTAAGAACTTACAACTTGCTTCATTTGTAGCTAAAACAAATCTCAAAACTGCTGCTCTTCTATGTTTATAAAATGTTTAAAAACAAACCAGCTCTCATCACTTCTTTGGCTACACATCCAAAATGGATAAAGATGGAAAAAAACTTCTTCCCAGCCCTCTTTTGCCACGTACGCAGTTAAAGCTGTACATTTACACAAACCGTGACAATTGTTTGCATTAGTGGTTAAATTTGCTTATCTGGAGAAAAAAAATAGCTCTGATGTAATTTTTAACCAAATGTGTTGCGTCCTTCTGCAAAGCAGAAATAAGATGTTCTTTTGGAACCATTCATGAGACATTTCCAACACCCAAAGGCAGTAAAAATTCACAGGCATTTTTAGTCTATCACAGATCTTCCACACCTGTTTTGCCACTAACATTTGTGAGCCACCATGACCATCATGGCAACTTAGCTGAACCTGGCAAACTAATCTGCAACACTAACACTGTGCTGTCTCACATGCAAACAACAACAAAAATCCTTGACATCAAAAACAAAACTGGAGAAAAAAAATTGTGAAAGACACAAAAGAACTACGAAAAATATTTCAAAAACAAAACAATATAAAAATTGGGCAAAAATAAAACAATCATAAAAAAAACCCTCACAAACAGTTTGGTATTGTAGGAACTGTTGATTCTAGTGGTTTGAGATTCAATTCACAGTTAATGCAGTAGCAGCCATGAATTAAGCTGGCATTTTGTTAATAAGAGGGTTACCCAAGATGTTAGTTCAGTAAAAGTCTGCTTTAGCACTTTAACTTCAATAATTTAAAACACTTAATTTGAAGAGCTTTTGCTTTTTCTTAAAAATACTTTAATTAAACATTCAAAAATTATTGCCAATTACAGAAACTATAAACCTCAAAATACAACTAAAAAAAGCACTTAAAGATTTTTTTAAAAATGTACTTTAAAACAATTGTTAACCCTCTCTGATTTTTAAAAAAGCAAAGATAGTAAGCGTTTGCTTTGCATGCTTCTCTTAAACAAGCTCAATACATTTAAGAATTTTAAAACAAACTTTTGTTTTAAACTAACTTTGAAAATAATTGTTTGTTTGCCAGGGGCCAAACTCTATATATGTATTTAACCCTTTAGGGTCCACATTGGGCACTAAAAATGTTGTATTAATTTAGATGTAATATATATGCTAAAGCTGTTAACATACTCAGTCACTGTTCAATATTAAACAGTGTTGAACAAGGTCTGGCGTATACAGAGACGTTAGTCTGCTTAATACCATGGCAAACACCATGGGCAGTGGGTATGGTAGGCCATGGGAGGCTAAAGCTCCCCAAACAGCCAGGCCTTGGCCCAGCCCCGAGGCCCCACTCCGGCATCACACTCTTTCCCCATGGCCCCGCCCACGCTGGTCCTCTTCCTGCCCTCACTCAGTCTCTCCCCTGAAACCAACAGGGGCTAGGCCAGGCAGGCCAGGGCAGCTGGGGCCATGCAGGACGGGTCGGCCAGTGGCCTGGGGCAGGCGGCAGGTCGGGACTCAGGGCAGCTGGGGTGGGGCTCGTCTCGCACGTTGGGGGACTTGGGGGTCCAGCAGGGGCGGGGGCAGATGGGATGGGGTCAGGGTCTAGCCTCCCCGAATGGGGGGGGTTCACATGCCACTTATGGCAAACATACTATAAAATTCATGCCAAAGTTTAGGAATGTATTGATTGAAACACACAAAAGGAAGACAATCAAAAAAAAGTCAAGAGCATTGAAACTGATTGTTTGTTTATGCAAAACAAACAATCAAAACATATCAAAGTCCCTTTCTGTACACTGTGAACATTGGTTAAAGTCTCTGATTCAGTCAAACAAACTTTCCTGGTGGAGAAGAAAGGGTTAGTTCTGTTGGTCAATTCTGCATCAGGAATGATACAGACAAAAGACTTTAGACAAAAGAGATTTTGGGCTGGCAGGTCAGCCACGACAGCTGCTGCTTTGGACTCTAGCTCACCTCCTCAGTCAGGGACATCATCTGGTTGGTCTGGTCAGGTCCCTGTCTTTCACTGGTCCTTCTCAGGCTGGACAGAGGTGGATGGGCCATCTCATCTGACCATGCTGGATCACAGCAACACAGTTGATTTCAGGATCAGGTGAAAAGCAGAGAAAGGACAAGAGGAATATGGTGGGGGGCACGAAGGAGCACATGAGGGAGGGGACGACAGAGCAGGATCTCACATGTATCAGGTTGGGGTCCTCGCTCATGCAGCGATGATGGTTAAGCATCTTCACTGGAGTATCAAGGCCTCATGTTATGACAACAAATCCTTCTGAGGCAACTGCAGTGAAGGTGAATGTTAAAGTTCTCCCCCTCAAAGTCTCTTGTTAAGGGCCCCAAACAGGTGAGGGGGTGGAATAATATAGCCTCTCATTATTTTGTCCAGCAGTTGGGCTTAATTTTTGACACACCAATATTGGGTTCCTTGATTTCCAGTCCTCTGCTCCTCTTGTTTACCAATCATAATCTTAACACAGTCCTGGGGTGTTATCAGTAGACCCTTTCTGTTTAAATTAATTCAATTTTTCTGGGTTCCTTCTCACATCTTTTCTTAAACAGTTGTATGCAACAGATTATTGTGAAAATTCATGAACTTTTACTCACTTTTCACCAGTTGAATTTACAGTTAGGGTAAATTTGTAGGCCCAGTTATCACAACAGGTGACACGACCAAATCTACTATTTAGGCCTATTGTCTGGGAGGGGCGGTGGTGGTGTGGGGGGAATTGAATGCTCAGGTTTGACTGAGGGGTTTGCATCTTGGTATATTTGCTTGTCAACTATAGAAAAAAAGACTATATTGTGAGGAAATGCTGCCAATAGATCAAAAAGAGTTCAGTCTGAAAATGCTGATTCAACAAAATGTAAACGTTTTTCAGGATTGTATCAAATTTGTCCAAATTTTTGTGAGACATTATCAAGATGCGTCATTTCAGTAAAGTCAAAACATTTAATTTTGATTACTGCTTTGATTTAGATAGTATACATTTTGATAAGATTGAAACGGAATATTTTGTTTCGTGAAAAAATCAGAGCTTTTGACTTTTCATTTTGATTAAGGATAAAACCAGATTTCAAAGTCTTGGAATTTCCTACGAGACAGAAATTCTGAATTTTGACCCACTCTAGCAGCTGTTCCCAGGGCCAGCAAAACCCCTGAAGGATGTCTGAAATCTAGCAAAGGCTGGGGTGGGTTTCTCTCTTGCCAGGGACTTGTTTTCCAGTAGAAAGCTGCTGGAGAGGATGCAGAAAGGCACTGGTGGTCAGTGATCCGGTCATTGTGGGAGGCTAGCCCCCAGCCCCTTCCCCCCTCCTTTCCATTTCTGCCCCCCTCCCCTGCAGGAGTCCAAAACTCCCAGCGCCAGGTGGCAAGGCTCCAGTCCCAGAGCTCTGGGCAGCTGGGCAGCATGGCTGCAGCACCCCCAGTTCCGGTGCACCAGGCGGCGTGGTCTGAGCACCAAATGGGCAGCGAGGCCCCAGCAGCAGCCACCCCAGTCCCTGCTGGGAGGCAGGCCAGCCCAACCCCAGCCTGGACCAGGGCAGAGCGCTGGAAGGAAATTACAGGAGGGGGCCTGGCTTGGGCCAGAGCGTGGGCAGGGCCACGCCAGTCTGTTTGGGGAGGCACAGCCTCTTACTGCCTACGATACCTGCCGCCCATGCAGAAGGGTCAAGAAAATTCTCAAGATTATTCTTGGAGAGCCTCCAGCTCATTATCCTTGGAGGTGGGAGGTATTTTGGAGACAAAGAGTGGATAGGAGACATGACATCCCAACCCTCTGCTCTGGTGGCAACACATAACTCTTACGCCCCTGCACGGCCAAGAGGGCGAGGCTGGATGGAAACAGGAGGGGCGCTCTCACCTCACCAGCTCATGGGAAGAGGAGTCTCTTAGGCAGTGGTTCTGAACCTGCGGCCCAATCAGCACACAGCTGAAGCCCATGTGAGATCCTCAGAGCCATACAGGTAGTATATATATATATATATATATATATATATATATATATATATATATATAGTAGTAGTAGTGT